TTCAGCACTAAATAAGATGTGAGTAGATATTTTAAATTCATGTTCTAAACATGAAGGAAGCATGGGATTTAGGCTGGTGTGCTAAATGGCATTAACTTGCCATTGCGGTGGAACAAAATGTTATGTTTTCCAATTTTAACTTGGAAGGAATAAAGTTCATAACAACAATTATCCCCTGGATCATATTACTGTACTGAAAGGTCTCAATCCAAAAAATTATCATAATTTATCTAGAGTGACCTAAATTATCACTTGGGATTTTTGTTTATGATATTTGAGCCTAATGTTACTGCCTACCTTGTGAAAAAACACTGTCTCCAAGAGGTTAATAACTGAGGCTTCATGACGCAGCTGAAACAGATAGAACATAAAACATAAATTAAATGTAAACTAAGCTCAGTATAAATATTACTGGAATATTAAGAAAACATATCCAGGAGTAGACATGTTGGCTTATAGCAAAGTACAGTAGCATCCAAAATCCACAAAACATGTCACAAGCTTTTGAAGCTCCATTGGTTTCTTCATCACGCAAAAGTGTTTAAAATCATAGAGAAAGACAAATATGACAGTGTAACAGGCCAACATTTTGTCATGGTGTTGTTTTCAATGAAGATAGTAAGGAGGGATATCCATGCAGGCAGGCCACTCCTCCTTCTAGCTATGAGGTTATTGGAAGACAGAGTCATGGAAATAAAATTTAAAAACAGATGCAACAAGAACAACTTTCTTTCTCCTATATGATTTTTAACACCCTTGAGTGATGAAGAAGCCAGTGGAGTTTTGAAAACTTGCAACATGTATTTTGTGCATTTAAGTTGGTCCAATAAAGGTATCACTGTTTTGTGGATTTTAAAATGATATTGTACAACAACAACAACAACAACATTTTATTTATATCCCACCTTTAGCCAAGGCTATCAAGGTAGCTTACAATTTAAAACAAAAATACTACACTAGAGGATAAAAAGAAGTCACATGGCTGAAAACCCAGGGTAAATTGGGACACTGTTATGATGCTCCCCTAAATTCTGTTATTCTGGAAAGAGGAAGCCTGTATTTGGAAAGAGAGGCTTCATTATGATAATTCAGCCTCTATTATGATAATTCAAAGAAAGCATGGCTCAAGGAAACTGCATAGTGGCCCTACACAAATACCTTCATGTTGAGCCTGCAATCTTAGTCACAGAAACACTCATGCAGAAGTTTGATTAACTTTCATGTCTAAGCCAAATTGAAAGACAATAATAAAAAGCCAATTTTAATGTTTAAAAACCTTCTAATTTTTCTATATACTTTTCTTTAGTTTTCAGATTTCAATAATGTATCAGAACTTAATTGGAAGGATTGACAAGAGATGCAGGAAATTACTAAAAACACAGAATCTTTTGGCACTTTAATTACTGATTACTGTCTACTAGTGTACAAAGTAGGCTATCTCTCAGTTCATTATACATGAAGGGCTATTCAGAATTTCAGGTGATATATAGTACAAATAGTAGGGGACCGGTTGCAGAAAGTGAGGCAGAAAAAATTTAAACTCAGAAAGGACTAATAGTGACAGTTATGTTATTATCGCTGCATCCTCACTGAACTGTTGCTGATAACCCATACGTTCCTATCATTAGGTACATCAATTAACACAGGCAATGTGGTAAGAAACCATTATTTTAACTGAAACCTCTTATTATATACTGGCATTCACTCTGTATGGCATTTGTTTATTTAATTTAAAACTGCATCATATTGCAGACTGCAGAGTGATGTACAGTAGATTAAAACAAGCAAATACAAAATTATAGTAAAAACTAATACATTGAACAGTAATTTACTATTTATTGTTTATTTGTTTGTTGGTCTATCCCTTAGACCAACAAACAAATAACTTATGGTGACCCTATCATGGGGTTTTCTTGGCAAGAGGAGGCTTGCCACTTTCCTCCGAGGCCGAGAGCATACGACTTGCCCAAGGTCACCTAGTACGTTTCATGGCTGAGCAGGGAATTGAATCCTGGTCTTCCGAGTCGCAGTACAACATTCAAACCACTATGCCACACTAGTGTGTTATTTGTTGTTATAAATAAACAAATATTTTATTTATTATTAATCAGGAAATACTTGTCTGTAAAAAAAAAAGTCTTCAACAGTGACTGAAAATAAATAAGCATAGATGTATGCCTAACCACAGGTTGAAGAGCATTTAAACTGTATGAAAATGTTAATGTCATAAATGCCTGTTCTTATCTATTACTATTACCTTTTGAATGTATGTCCAACTCCCTTACCCCTTAAGAAGTCAAGCTTTGGGAAGTTCAGTGTTTTTAAAAATCCATCTTAAGTATCAGGCTGGATATCTAAAGATGCACATTTGAATGTATATCCAAAAAACAAAATAAAAAAACGAAACACAAACCACCACTTATTAACACATGAAAAAAACAACAGTGCATCTTGAAACTATCTGGTGTGGGAGACTGACAGAGTACCCCCCCCCCCAGTGTACTAGGGGTCAGCACTATTTTTGTGTCCATTGACTACAACTGTTTATTTCTTTCTTGCAAACTTACTGCTGGCAGTGAATACTTTCTTGCAAATTTGCTGCTGGCAGACCAGCGTTGGTCCACAGACCACTACTTTGAGAAGCGTACACAAACACAGTTCAGCATTTTATGTATGAACCATACAGCTCCCTGTTTCTCTGGTATAGCCATGAGCTCAGAATAGAAGCATAGAATCATAAGAGTTGGAAGAGACATCAAGGGCCATCCAGTCCAACCCTATTCTGCCATGCAGAAATACACAATCAAAGCACTCTTGACAGATGGCCATCCAGCCTCTGTTTAAAAACGTTCAAAGGAGACTCTGCCATACTTCAAGGTGGTGCATTCCACTGTTGAACAGCTCTTACTGCCAGGAATTTTTTCCTAATGTTGAGGTGGAATCTCTTTTCTTGTAGTTTGCATTCACTGCTCTGTGTCCACATCTCTGGAGCAGCAGAAAACAAACTTGCTCCATCTTCAGTATGACATCCCTTCAAATATTTAAACAGTGCTATTATATCACCTCTTTACCTTCTCTTCTCCTGGCTAAACATACCCAGCTCCCTAAGTCACTTCTCGACATACAGTATGGTTTCCAGACCTTCCAGACAGTATGGTCATCCTCCTCTGGACATGCTCCAGCTTGTCAACGTCCTTTTTGAACTGGGATGCCCAGAAATGGATGCAAGATTCCAGGTATTCACAGCATTCCAGAAAATTTACATCTGTCACTTTCTCAACCACAACTTGTGTTGTTAAAAGTGATAAACTGTAGTTAATACTGACTATAGCTTGCTTGAAATAAATAAGTTTGTTACATACTGAAATTCAAATGGTAAAAGTGATAAACTAATTTTCTATATTCAGAATAACAGATATTCCCCTTCCATTGCACTCAATTTGCTCACCCAGTTTTGAAATCCTAACATTATTAGCTCTCACATAATCTTACTTAAAAACACTTTCTATGCTAATTCTACATAAATTCTCATACTAGTGATCACTGTGATAGGAAGTAGGCCAAACTAGCTTCCTGAAATGAAATCATCATTTTGTGACATTTTACATATGGCTGCATGCTGAAAATATCAAAATGTAGGGGTCTAATCTAATTCCACACTATTTGTTGTTTTTGTTAACTGCCCTCGTATCGATCTTGACCCATGGCAACCCTGCTGATGAGACATCCCCACCCTATACTTACCACTAAGTATATGGGAAAAGTGCTTTTTGGTTTGAAGTCCTCCAGCCTGCATAGTATAGGGAAGATTTTCTGTTTCCAGATCTCCACAGTGATTAATTCCTGAATAAGAGTTGGAATCTACACAAATAAAAAGGACGTTTCACTTTAACATTATGTTTTTTAAGGTGTGGATGGGAGTTATATGACAGGAAAAATGCAGAACTTAGATGATTTCTCAGGATTATCACAAAGATAAACATTAAAGGCAGAAGGCTTTTTCTTACTTTACTGTTACTTCTTTTCAAATGACAAACAAGAAACATTAAGCGCAATACCACTTTGTATGGAACAAATGTCCCTATTTCATACTCATGTCATTGATTTTCATGTAAGATTTGTTTCCAAGTGCATAATCAAAATACTTTAATATAGATCAGTTACTTTCACATATACACCAATATAAGTCATGATAAGAGTATTTAAAAAGTGGTGAAGGAATAAATTGTTTCTATCTTGTCAATGAATGCTTGTAAGTGAGGTGAGAATCTCTGGCTTTCCAGATGTTGCTGGACTATAAATTCTTTCAGCCGTGACCGTGGGCCATAGAGTCTCAAGGCCGTGGGAGCTGTAGCCCAAAATATCTGGGAAGCACCAGTTGGAAGGAGGCTAACAGAAACAACTTTAGAGAAATACAAAATAAGCTTCAGCTGATCTTGGTTCATAAGAATATATGTAGCCTCTGCCACAAGCCAATGATTTTCTGGATCACCACAGCTAAATGTACCATGTTGTTGTGTGCCTACAAGTAGTTTCTGACTTAAAGGTAAAGGTATTTCCTGTTGACAAGGTTGTCAAGTTGTGTCCGACTGTAGCGGTGCTTATCTCCGTTACTAAGCCAAAGAGCCAGCATTGTCAGAGACCACTCTGTGATCATGTGGCCAGCATGATTGCACAGAAGGCTGTTTACCTTCCCACTGAGAAGTGGTACCTACTCATCTCCTTGCATTTGTATGCGTTCAAACTGCTGGGTTGGCAGAAGCTGGGACTAGTGATAGAAGCTCACCCCATCATGCGGCACTTGAGCCTCGAACTGCCAACCTGCCAATCTTGCAATCAACAGAGTCAGAGTCTTAACCACTTGAGCCACTGCATCCCAGGAAGTTTCTGACTTATGGCAACCTTATCACAGGTTTTTATTGGCAAGGTTTGTTCAGAGAGGGGATGCCTTTCCTTCCTCTGAGATAGTCATTTGCCCAAGGCTACCCAGTGAGTTTCCATGGCCAAGCAGGGATTCAAACCCTGTTCTCCAGGATGGTAGTCTAATGTTCAAAGCATTACACCACACTGACTCTTTAGTGAAAGCGGAAAGCTGCAATGTACCATACCTTGGCATTATTCACCAGAGATTCAGTGAGGAGCTGTTCATGTCCAGCAGAAGCACTCAGTATTGCCTGCATGTTCAGCTTCTCAATATATTCATGTTGCCGTAACCACCTGAGAAGCAGGGTGAGAATAGTTAGCACTCACGTCCTAACACTGACCTCATCTCTTCTTAGCTACCAAATATTGACACTGCTAAAGATAATTTCAGCCTGACATGATAACCTTTTCCCAGACATTCTTTCTGCCATCTGTCACACAGGACTATACATCTTTTCTTTGTTAAACAATCTGTTCAGCTAACAGGCAGAGATGATATTTTCTGAATTAGAATTAACAACTGGAACATGGTCTGGTTTTGGGATGTGAAATTCTTTTGCTAATGGGAGAGGCAGGGAAAGGTGTCATTGTAATTCTTAGCTGGGAGATACAAGTCTGTGAGTTTAGCTGAAGATGAAGGGGAAAGGAATCTAGGGTACTGAGCAGCTACTTTTTGGGAACTGCAGTTAATCACATCATCTTGTAGGGTTTTCTAAACTGAATAGGACTAAATCTTATTTAGTCCCCCACTATTGCACTTTAGAAAATTATAAGCACTTGGTTCACTGATTTTGCAGCCTTGATCTCTGATTTTCATCATATAAGTGTTTTATTCTGGAGTTGTCTGCAACTGTGGGCCAGTTTAGATCCAGACTGTCTTCAAGATGAACTCTGGGGATGTAACATAATTTGAGAATCATTATTTTACTCAAGAATCTCTGCTGTTAATTCTGTGGGTGTAGCAGCTTGAGAAACCCCTATCACAAATACTGAAATGGCAACAAGGAAGGGTGGAATCTGTAAGATGCTGATAACTACTATCTGCATTGGATCCCATCCCAGCAAAAAGGCAGAGTATAAATTCAATCAATCAATCAATCTTATCTCAGCATCGCTCATGATTGACCAGGCTGGCAGAGGTTGAAGGGAGCGAGATTCCAACTTCATCTAGAGCAGCATTACTCAAAAGTGTTGGTCTCAGGACCAGCACTAGTCCACGAACCATCAACTGCCAGTCTCCTGAGATTTTATAGGAAAGAAAGAAATAGTTGTAGCTAAAGGGCACAAATATGGTACTGGGCCCTGGCATGTTAGGTTAAAAAAAAAAAAAGGTTCCTGATGCCCCACACCAGAAAGCCCAAGAAACACTGATTTAGAAGACTACAGGTTCTCCATTCCTGATCTGTATCATGCTATGTAGGCCATTTTTGGCCCATATGTTAAATTTCTAAAGATAATTTAGAAAGAATAAGTGGATAATTTATACGGGCAAAGTAGTTCAATGCTTATCAGAATTAGCAAGTGCCCAACAAACTGTTATTAACACATTCAGATACATCAAACTACCAATCCTTTCAGTGTTAGGAACATTTTACTTTAGAACATCCCAGAAATTTCATTGTACACCCTCAAGAGACATTCTGGGCTCCAGTGAGACTGAAGAGAAAGACATTTTACTCTTGTGACTGCCTCATTCTTCTCAAACTAATATTCATGAAGATTTTGCGCCTCTTCAGGAAGCTTCTTTGACAAGTCTGAAATTGATGTTTATTCCCAGTTCCTTGTGGAGTCTTTTACCTTACACTCTATTTCTCTGGTGAATAAATGTTATGAGAAGAGATAAAACCTAGTAACTAAAACTTCAGCTAACCTTTTTCTATACATGAGTTTACCAAAAGCAGCCCAGATAAGATACCTGGAACATCAGCTTTCTGACTCTCATATGGCATCTGTTCCTGATTTTATGTTCCAGCAGTTGAAATCTCCCCTTTAGGACCCAAGCATTCAGTATTCTTAAGGGGATTTACCATCTTTGAAGCACCTACTCAGTCACAGGGATGATTCAGCTCCATATTTGACATAATACCTCCAGTTGAAGTAGCATTTTTAAAAAACAGTTTCTCAACCAGTGATTCCCATGCCTTTATCCCCTCTCACCAGGATACCGGAAAAGTGATTTATACAGTTAAAATATAACATTAATTGATGAATGTCAAGCAGAAAATATAAAATATATATGTACAAGGTAATTAAAATATAACGTTCATAGCTGCATGTCAAGCAGAAATCCAACAGGTGAAATGAAACATGTGTTCAATTTCTGCCTGTCACACATCTGTTAAAGACAAAGGAGCTGTGTCTCAAAGAAAAACTGGGCTATAACTATCTACACACCAGATCCTTTCTGATCTTGGAAGCTAAACAGGGTCAGCCCTGGTTGGCATTTATTTGGATGGGATGTTGCCAACGAATACCAGGTGCTCTAGGTATATTTCAGAGGAAGGAGCTGGCAAAACCACCTTGCCTAAGAAAACTGAATGAAAAGCTACATTGAGTCGCTGTTGTCAACAAATAACTTGAAGGCATATATAGAACCACCTAGGGCAGCTGGGTGAAAAATAGTTACTCTGGATTAACATGTCATGCAAAAGCAAAGGATTGTCTCTGCTCCAGTCTGCTCACCTGTTGTGTTCTGGTGTATGTTCATCAAAGGACCTTGGAACCATTTTTAAGGTAGGGAGACTCAACACTGGCTGTCTGGTTTTGTTAATTTTCCCTAATTGCAGGTAGTTGCAGGTAGAAGCGAGGAAATTACTTTCCCCATCCTTTATCACTGAAACATCCTTATGTTTCTTCTACCTGCAACTACCTGCAATTAGGGAAAATTAACAAAACATATTTCAGTGATAATATGAAGACTTTTACAAGCACAGTGTCTAGATAGAAATGCATGCCATGGGTTCACTGCACTTTACTCCCAAGTAAGTATATTTAAGATAGATTGTGGTGGCGGTGGTGGTGGTGCTGTGCCTTCAAGTTGTTTCTGACTTATGGTGACCCTATCTGAGGGCTGAGAGAGTGTGACTCACCCAAGGTCACCCACTGGGTTTCCATTGTTGAGTGGGGATCTAAACTCCGATTTCTAGAGTCATAGTCCAACACTCAAACTACTACACCACTCTGGCTCTCTAGGACAGATTGTTGCTGTGTGCCTTCATTACTTATGTCAACCCTAACATGACTCTAACCCTAACATGGGGTTTTCTTGGCAAGATTTGTTCAGAGGAGGTTTGCCATTGCCTTCCCCTGAGGCTGAGAGCATGTGACTTGCCCCTTTTACCATATTTCTCCTGGGAAGTTCAACCATAACAGTTGCATTAATACATAGAGAGAATGAAGCAGCAGCAGCAACAATTATCACTATTATTATCATTTTTATTTTAGTGGTCGACCATTCACTATACTTTTTGATCGATAATTCATGAAGGGGTTCAATTATGTAGCAGTCTTGCCAGTCCAGCTTTTGCCAGATCATTTGAACCAGGATGACTAGATGTCCTGACCACAAAGGAGGACAAGAGACCACAAGATGGAGGACAATGAAGGAAGATGTAGGACACGACCAAATAAAAGCTAAAAACACTTAAAGAAATGTCCATCCTGCTGAAAATGGAGGACATTGTGGAACTATCCTGGACATAAGGCTGGAATGGAGGCAGTGTTCTGGAAAAGAAGGACCTCTGGTCTCCCAAGTCATGCTCAAGATGGAAGACATTGTGGAACTCTTCCTAGACTTAAGGCTGAAATGGAGGACGTGTCATGGAAAAGGAGGATGTCTGGTCTCCCAAGTCATGCTCCACATGGAGGATACTGGAATTCCTCCTGGAGAGAAGGCTGAAATGGAAGACGTGTCCTGGAAAAGGAGGACCACCTCTGGCTTCCCAAGTCATGCTCCAGATGGAGGACACTATGGAACTCCTCCTGCAGAGAAGGCTGAAATGAAGGACGTGTCCTGGAAAAGGAGGACCTCTGGTCACCCTTGTCATACTCCAGATGGGGGACATTGTGGAACTCCTCCTGGACAGGAGGCTGAAATAGAGGATGTGTCCTAGAAAAGGAAGATCACCTCTGTTCTCCCAAGTTATGGAGGACATTGTGGCACTCCTCCTGGAGAGAAGGCTGGAATGGAGGACGCGTCCTGGAAAAGGAGGA